ATGTGATTATTATTCTGCTGATTAAAATGTATAACCATTTTATTGTTTTAGATTATTATCTTTTCCCGTCAACAGTAAAACCATGTGGTTTCTCTCCAGCATACCCTACCCTTTTCTCACAACGGGCTTACTTGTGTTTTTATTCTTTCTTTTTCCAAATACATGGAATTTTGTTTGTGTATCAGGTAGATTGTTGTTTAGGTGAAACACTAAGAACCACAGGGCTAATGTATTTCTGCCTGTGATAAAAGGAATGTATTTCTTATCATTAGTCAGAGCCTCTAATAATCTGGGTTAGATGATGTGTAAAATGATGTCAGGGTCCAGACTGCCAAGTTTAGTTTTACTGCCCATTACTAACAAAATACAATGATAAAAGCTGAGTTGAAGGCCAAAGCAGAAGTTAGCCGCTGGGTTAGTGAACCTTGCCTGAGTAAATTTCTTTTATTTAAGGCAGTTGGAGTGGAAAATATATACAGCTGTTTGAACGATTATTAATGTAATAATAAACCCCAAAACTTTTTCAGCTTTTGGAAAGTATTTAAAATATTTAATTGTAATAATGTGTGGTGAATGATCGCTTGCGTGAATCTTATCTGAATATTAGCATTGTGTAAAAAACAAAGTTCAGTCTGCGTAAGCAGCTTCCACACGCTGGTAGTCCCATGCATGCGATCGGCAGGAAGCATTAACAATTCATCAACGTCGAGGTATGGAAGAAAACACATCAGTGATTGTAGAAAAGTGTTGTTTTCCATTTAAATTTCCATTCTTTAAAACTCTAAAGCTGCATCATGAAGGTCAAGATATAGTTCATATATAGTTCATATAAAGACATACATGTTTAAATGTGAATGCAGGTAAACATTCAAAAGAAATACATTTTAAGACTAATTTTCTCAGATTGAAAAATTATGTACAAACAAACTTTACCTACAACTAAAACAAAGTAAAAATAATGAGAGCTTCACTTTTTTGCTCCAAAGGAAACCATATCTAAACTTTTAAAAACTGTTTGTTAGGAAGGATTCCCAAGAGTAAATCTCTTTGCTCTAAAAAAAGACAACCCCAGATGTGGTTTTGAGGTTACCCCATAAAAAAATTGTACATGTAAGAGTAAGGTTTATGCTTTTGGGCCAGATGTTCAGCAGTACATCCAGATCTTTAGAAGGAGTTCATGCAGGAGGGGAGGGGTGATTGTACTTGTTTCACCGTCGGATGACCTGGGTACATCGCAGCCAGTGCATGATCAGATTTGTTGTATGCTATCCGTCTGACTGAAAATGGGTCAACCAGCAGGACAACGACCCTAAGTGGATCTATAAAACAACTGCAGCAAGATGGAGGAAAATAAGCAAGGACTAAATCAGTTTAGTTTATTTATATAGGGCCAACTGACAAAACAGGTCATCTCAAGGCACTTTACAGAGACAATTCAACCAGATCATACAGTCAAATTGATTAAAGGTGTTCTATCTAAGAAAAACCTGTTGATTGCATCAACTCATTGACTCAAAGGTAATCCCCTACATTAAGCATCCTTGCAGCGACAGTGGAGAGGAAAAATTCCCTTTTAACAGGAAGAAACCTCCAGCAGAACCAGGCTCAGTGTGAGCGGCCATCTGGCGAGGCCGACTGGGGTTCAAGGAGACAGAAGCAGAGATACAAAAGACAGCTGTCAACCAGCTCCACAGGCGGCCCCCTCCACACACCCAGGCAGACAAGCTCAGATTCAGCTCCCATGTCAGAGGATGATGGTGAGCACACACAGTTAGTCAAAGTCAGAGAAACAAAAAAAAAAAGGTCAAGCTCCAACATCTATAAACAAAGGCGTTGATGGCAGCAGCACAGCTGATATTCCTCTCCCGGATGGTGTCACAGCCAAACAGGAACAGACCAGATTAAGCTAATATGATGAGAAAAGGCAGAGAGAACATCACATTAGAGATTGAACTTACAAATACTGCAGAATGGGATAATAAATATAGAATGATGAAAAGGAGTCCCTATGTCCTCTAGCACTCGAAGCCTATAGCAACACAAATGGAGAAAATAGTTCAGGATAACCCAAGTATTTTGGATGAGGTATAAGAACGGTAGAGCCACAGTGAAAGTTTGTAACCTTATCTTTTTATTTTCTATCGAGAAAGTGGTCAGTTTTGATAAAGTAATTTTGTTATTATAGGGTGGTTACATCTCTTACTCCTATCTGGTTTTGCAGACACAGGTAATTGATAACTACACCTTCATGCCCAAACAAAAATGGAATTATACATAAAGAATCTTTTGTTTCTGAGCGCTCTCAACAGGTACTAATAAAAAGGTAATCCTAATATTATCCACCAAGCAAACGACCAAAGACCAGAATCTGACAATTTTTCTTGAGATGCTCTGGAAAATTAGGGTAAGTGAGAATCATATTTACCGGTATTGGCTGGTCATACATTTTAGTAAGTATAATGGCTCATTAGATTTTCCCCCTGTTCATTTAATGCATCAACTGAGAACTGCAGTATTTTTTAATATAAAAATACTTTAACTAATAAAATGCACTTAAATCCAGTTTTCCTTTTTTTGTTGAACAAAAAAGAAAAAAGAATAATAGGACTAGATTCTCACTTTAAGTAGAAGGACCATTATTTTAAGTGCATTTAGTTCAATGATTCAGCCACATGAACAGATAATATGATTTCATTGCTTTAAAACATCTTGCCATATTGCTCTTCCTTGCCTAAAGTAAAATACTTCAGTAATAGCCATGGGCTACTTAGTCTATACTCCATGACTGTTGATCTTTTTGACTGTAATTAACAGTCTTTAAACAAGCTGACTGACAGTACACTGCAATTACTCCCTGCTCCATACGGCTGCAAGCTTACTACTGCAATTTTCTTGAATTTTAAAAAATAGCTTTGAATCATGCAGCAGGTAGGAGAGGAAATATAACCAGCGTTAACACTTTTTTAAGAAAAGCACATTTTTCTCAAACCTGTCTACCAAACTGTCCTATTAAGGACATATAATTGGTTGCATAAATGTGAACAACATTCCTACATTTCTGCTGGACACAAAAGTGCAAAATGTCTTGTAAACCCTCTGAAGGGCAGGTCAGACTTTACATCACATCAATCTAGAAAGCATTTATTGAATAAAGGTTTTAGGATATTTACACCTTTAAAAGAAAAACCTAGAAGATTTGAGGTTTTTTTTAAATAATTTAATCACAGTTAGAAGTGCTTTTAAACTCCTTCACTTAAGTACATGTGGAAAAAGTGCAGATCTTACTTTGTTGCCAGGTGCAATGTAAAATAAAGTTTAAGTAAAAAAAAAAAAAACTTTTAAAAAGTACTCTTTAATAAAGTTGTATGCACAAAAAAAATTTAATTGTTCCTCTTTTGCTCACAACAAACAGAAAATAATGTCTAGTTTTATTCTAAATTAAATTTCAGACCACATAATGTAGATTTAACTTAATAGAAGTCCCGCCTGAGCAGCTAAATACTTTTTAGAGCTCTGTAATTCACAGTATTACTGTTGAAAAAAACCCATTAAAACTAAATTTTAAAAAATTATCAGTCTCAGAATCTGATCCATCACCTGTCATGTTTTTCAGCACCCTGTTTTCATCCATGTTCCTATCTATGTCTTTCTATGAAACAAACTGGGCTCCAACTGGAGAGATTCTCTTAGTAATTTATATTTTTACTCTGTTTATTCCATCTGTTATGTCATGCCATTATCAATATGTATAGATATCATGTTCCAGGTTTGAGAAACTAAGGAGTATGATACAGATATTTGTTTCCATATGTGGAGAGTAAAAGTAAAAAGTCATCAGAAATAGATATACTCGAGTAAGTACATATTCAAAAGATGAAGTACTGTAACTAAGTGTTTATACCTAGCTATTTGACACCTCTGGGTATGCTAATGGTAATTATGATAATGAATTAAACTCAGGCCAGAGTTTATTTTTATTTTTTTTTTTAGGATGAAAACATATTAAAGAATTAGAAAAGTCCTGTCAAAGTCAGACTGAAAATATTTGACAAGCAGTTTTCAAATAGAAGTTTATTTGCAAAAAGGAAAGGGGTAAAACCTAATAGCGACATATAGAGTTATGGGTGTGTCCCTTAATGTTTTCAAATGCAAGCATGGTGATTTGTGGTTCCCAGGGGCGGAGCTAGATGGGGGGCCAATCATTGGCCACCCCTGTGGCCACTCCTAACATTTCTTCCCTCTAATACATACGGTGGCAGCAGTAATACTCTCAGGTGGATTGTTGTAACTTATTTAATATTTTATTTTTCATCTGTTACGTTACTTGACAACAAAAACACATCAATATGTTAACATTAAAAATGTTAGATACCGAATTCATGCTCTTTTCAGAACTAGATTTTATCTTATGGGGTAAAGAGAAAATTATGTCTCTGATTTTACTGAAGATTCATAGATGACTTGCAGAGATAAATAACTACTTTAATAATAAATAATCAATTTAATGTAAATATTAGTACATGTAAATAATAATTTTATGCAAAAAGATTATTAATAAACGTAGGTAAGACAATGAATAAGATGTTCAACCGAGAACTCAAGCCTAGAGTTTTAATTTAGATGCTAAAATATGTGTCTATTTGTTAGCAAAGGCTGTAGGAAAGTATAGTTAGTCTTTACTTAGAAAATATGGATGTTGCGGTTGTTCCTTTTCCTTTTGGAATAGTGTTGATTTACTGTGAGTTTCTGGCGCCTATCTGCTTTTGGCCACCCCTCAGTTTACAATGGTTATTGCCTGGCCACCCTTATTAAAATCTTCTGGCTACGCCTCTGGTGGTTCCGTAAAATGTTGGATTATTATTTCCGGTTTTATTATGTGCCACAATGGCTTGCCATACAGGTTGGTTTATAAATTGCAGCTGCAGCGCTCTTCATTGGCGCTAGGTGGCGCAGAGCGACTATAGTAACGGAAGTGACGTTTCCGATTTCTTTGGCGAACGTAAACAATCATGGCCGACAGCGAAACCAAACAGCCCGTCTATTTAGTGATTAGCAACATTCCCGTAGCCTTCCACTCCGCCGACCTGAGGAATTATTTCAGTCAGTTTATAGAGAGCGGTGCTTTTCACTGCTTCCACTATCGACACCGACCGGAAGTTCTGAAAGAGCCCGAACGGTCCGAACCCACAACGGGAGGCGACGGAGAGAACGTTAGCATCGCATCCCCGGAGCCCGAAGCACCAAAGCAGGGCAGCTGTGTGTCGAAGCCGGCGGTGAAATCATGCTGTTGCGTCGTTTCTGTTCACGCTAATCACGCCGACAGGTTCCTCCGCATGTATGCAGGGAACCACTGGATCGACTCGAAGGGGAACTGGCTGGGCAGGCGCTGTGTTATCAGGAGGATACGAGTCTCCAGTGACAAAGGTTAGTGTGTGATGTAATCTGGTAGGCATGCCTAAAGGTGCCAGTCCTTTGATTGACCTTCTTTTGAAGCAAGTATTAGTCATTTTCTTATGATAGGAAACAAGCATAAAGTTCATAAAACAGTTAATGAATGACATGGAATGGCTTCCCGCCTCATCACAGGCCTCCAATGCTGTCTTAAAAAGTTATCAATCCACTGGACACAATTTAGAAATGTTGCCTTTTAAAGTCTCTCAAAACTGAGAAATTAAACATTTTAAAATCTATAGCGCTTTCGAATGATATCTCTAGTTTGTCTATTAATAAACGAGTTATAGATAGATATAATCCATAGATCAATTTAAATTTACATGTTGTTGTTTTTTTGTAGCCCTAAATTTGTTGCAACCTAGATTTTAAACAGGATCAATGTCTCTTAATATGAATCCCAAATCATCAGCATAGGTTTTATTTTTATTCACTTTTTATTTTTTTCCAAGACAAAATGTATTGATCACTGATCAGACTTAATGAATACAATAATCCATCTTAATGGCATCCAAGAGATGTTTTACAAATCTGAGGGATCTTAGAATTGAACTAATGTTTGTCCAAATGCTAGAAAAAAACAACCAAACAATAACAAAAATCAGTTAAATCTCACTTTATAACACAGGCGAAGCTCAAAACCCCCTACCTGTTTCATGTGTTGCAGATCATACAGATGAGTAAACCGATAGAAACTTTGAGGGAAAAAAATAGACAACACAAAAAATACTTTTGAAATAAAAAATCTAAATGGAAAATCTAAAGATCTATTGCTAATACCACAATACGTAGATAAAGTATGCTCAGCATTATCTTTGTCCTTTCAGGTGAAGGTTCCTTCCCTTATAAGACCAAGTTTGAGCAACGTCATCATGTCTCCTTAACGGAGCAGTTCACTGACGCTGACCTGAACAGCCTGCCTGAGCTCAACCCACCTGCTCTGATGCAGAACGGAAACGTGGGCACGCCAATCAGAGTCTTCCTCCAGCTCATCCAGTCCTGTCGCCTACCTCCACGTCTCATCCGGAAGCTAGGCCTCACCTTCCCGAAAACCGGCTCCAGTCGTCGCTATGGAAACGTACCCTTCCAGTACTACAATACGTGCACCCTCCCATCCACAGAGGAGACGGTGTTAACCGCTGCTGGACACGAGATATCGGGGCCAGGCTCTTTGATCGCTCCATCGTCTAGATCGAGACTAATGGCTGATGATGTTCATGCAACAGAGGCGGATGAAACGCAGAACGAAGCGGCAGAAGAAGAAGGAGAGGATGTCCAGTCGAATGCAGATGATGTAGGTTTCATTTGCAAATTATTAACATATTATCATGTTTCCTTCTGGTTTGTTAATGATGCACTTGTGTGGCTGCAGGACGATGACTGCTGTGAAGAGTGGGAACGTCACGAGGCCCTGCATGATGATGTCACCAGCCAGGAACGCAGCAAAGAGAGGCTTTTCGAGGAAGAAATTGAGTTGAAGTGGGAAAAAGGAGGTTCCGGTCTGGTTTTCTACACCGACGCTCAGTACTGGCATGAGGATGAAGGAGGTAACACAGAAAAAATGACATGTGTGAAGCTATTTATTGGATTGTTCTTTAGAAATAGAAAACACACAGTAGCTTTTCCACTTTCTTTCCCTCTACAGACATTAGTTTTATTGGTATTTTTTAAAAATACACCAGAACAACAAAATGCAGAGCTGTGAAATGGAAGAAAGAAGAGATATGAGTGTGAAACAAATCAGTTTGCTTTCTCTTCATATTAAGATCCGGTTTTTCTGATACCCCTTAATTAAATCCTTCATCTGATGTGCAAATAGAATCCACCTTTCTGTCATTCATAAATCCATCTGTTCTGTGAAGGCCTCAGAGCTGTTAGAGACCATCAGTGACTAAATAGTATCTTGAACCCAAAGTCACACATCAGGCAACCCTGGTGGAATGTAGTAGTGAGGGCCTTTCAAAGGGGGTCTTTGAATCCATCCTGGGAAAGTGGCAACAAGACCGCTGCTGTTTGAACAAAACAAATAGAAGTCTGAAAATGTTTCTGCATGCTGCTCGCATGTCCTGCCTCTCAGTAAAACATCCTCAGATCTGTCACTTTGAGACATCGGGTTTGCGGTCACATTTCACTGCGTACAAAGTAGCTACATGGTTGGAGGAGAGACACACACCAGCACTCAGTGAATATTAAGCACCAGCTACTTCGATGTTTATGTAAAAGTTAGGAGACGGGTTGGTTTAAAAAAATAAAAAAAATATATAGAGATCATACCACTGAAAAATCTGTTTGTTAGAAATACGGAGCTTTTTCAGCTAAAAAATGGCAACAAATTGTAAGTTAATACAAGTTAGTATTATAATGCAAGGAGCTTGAGAAAACATAGTTTGTTCTTCTTTACTTGTTAAAAAGCTTGGCTTTTCAGAGGACCATGACTCCCCCTAAAATTAACATGTTTTCTTATTGTACAGACAGAATCAGACTGCACAGCTTCAACATATCTTGAAAATGTGTTTCTGGCATCATTATATTAGTAAAAAGGTTCGTAAATCTTTTTAAACAGTGCAGAGAGAAGTAGGGAGAGCTGCAGATTTAAAAGTGAAACAGATTTACTGGGATATGCAACATGCAATAAAATATATCTCCAAGTTTAATCAGAAAGTTTACAAGAAAAAAATGTGCTATGCTATATTTAAAATGCAGCATATCCATATTTTTTTAGGTGGATGGAATTGAAATTGTAATTCTAGGGGTGCATGATATATCGATTTTGGCATCGGAATCGGCTGTTATTCGTTATTTTTTTATACATTAATGCTTTTGGGTCCTATATATGTAATGCACTAAAACAGCGGCCCCCAACCACCAGGCCGCGGACCGGTACCGGGCCGCGGACCGGTACCGGTCCGTCGGTCATTTGGTACCTGGCCGCACTGAATAATTTATCGACGATCAGAGTCTGAGTGATGTTTTATTTTGAAAAATACATAACATTGGGGTATTCTCTCCCAATTACATCAGTCGGTGCATCTGTGCCTCTTGACACAGGTTAATTCAGGTCAAGACTCATCCTATCTATAACATCCTATCTTTGTGAAGCAGAATTTTCTGCGGTTACAGCGACCAAAACAAAGCTACGGAGCTGACTGGACATCAGGAGCACACTTTGTGTGTCATTGTCTCTGATTACGTCTAGATGGGACTGGTTTGTTTCGGAAAAACAAGTCCAGGGCTCCCACTAATTCAACACAATGATGAGTTTTATTTTTATGCTGTTTGTATTTGATTTTATGCCAGTCGTATCATTTTATTTGATCGTATTTACCCCCCAGACTTTAAAGACTGGTCCATGAAAATATTGTCTGACATATAACCGGTCTGTGGCGCAAAAAAGGTTGGGGACTGCTGCACTAAAATACATCTCTGTAACTATCTATAAATATAAATATTAGTGTATTATAGTTCTCTTGTTTTTTCAACAACAGCAAGGCATTCAATAATTATATGTTTGAGCTAATTTTTTTAAAATACCAAAAGCTAATGAAAGCGTTTGGGACGAGTAACTGCAGGTCCATCAGCCCCCACCCGAATGTCCCCACCAATTTTCCTCACAAAGTTACACCCTTGAACCTTGCATCCTTTTCCAGAAACATTAGTTTTATGACTGCAGTGTGACCAAACTCCACTTTTATGTATTTTATCTTTTTTTTTTTTTTCTTGTATAGTAACTAATATTTGCTCGTCTTGTAGATTTTGATGAGCAAACTGCAGACGACTGGGATGTTGACATGAGCGTTTACTACGATAAAGGTATCACAGCCATCTTTGATACAAACCGATCAATAAAATTATAAATGAAGCTGCATGTTTTGTTTTTATCCTTGTATTCAGATTTACTCTAACCCTTCCTTTCACAGATGGAGGCGACATGGACGCTCGCGACTACATAAAAATGCGCTATGAACAAAGACTGAGGGAAGGCGTTGAAGACGGATCGGGGCACAATCAGTCTATCGGCAGCTTTGAGAGATTTACTAAGGTAAGCAGACTTATGCGGTTCTCATGCTCCTGTGCTCTTATCTAGGAGTGTTCTTCATATTTCTTTGTATGCGATTAGGGCTTCGGGCGACGCTTGATGGAGAAGCAGGGCTGGAAGGACGGTGAAGGTCTGGGAAGCAGCCAGGTTGGAATTTCTGATGCTCTGGAGAATGAGGGCCAACATCCACGCTGTAAACGAGGCTTTGGGTTAGTTTGGATGTTTAATCAGAAACAACAGTCTAGTATTTTCTTCTAGTGATTGAAATCAAATTGTTAACGCATTCTTTTTTTTTTTTTTTTTTTGGCAGGTATCACGGAGAAAAGCTGGTGTTGCACCCCGTAAAGAAAAGCAGAGCAGATGTTCTCATCAGCACAGTGTACGATAAACCCAAAGACATTGATGAAGGTGACACCTTACTGAGACGTCAACCCAACACCAGCATGAAGTACCGAGGCTGGCAGCCAGGTGGCAGCATTGGATCAAAAAGATGACATCTGCAAAACATTTAGCTCTGTTTTATTTATTGTTTTATAATAAAACCTTTTTAATTCATTTAATTTTGTTTGTCCTAATTTTCCCATTAATGTCTCCCATGATTATTGGAAACATATCATCTATAAATTACTTGCTAAAAGGGATTTTTATGTATAATGTGGAAGGAGGGGATTTTACTAAAACTGTGGAGGAAATCTAAACAGCCCCAATGATAAATATGCTCATAATTTTCTTTAGCAGGGAAAAAAAAAGGTTGGTGCAGCTAAGTATACTGCAATCCTTGGAGACATCGTGCTACAGGTTGGTCCTCAGGAAAAAAACATTTTCCTGGTGGAAAATGATTCTGCAAATAGTGCGTTGCATCACTATACCAAAATGTGATTGAGGAAATATGGTAAAACTTAAATAATAATAAAAAAAAAACATACACTCAGATGCTCTACATCAAAGTTTTCTGAGATTGAGCAATTTTGTAATAGAAGAAATGGGAAAAGACTGCCATCCCTAGAGGGGTTAAGTTGGTGGAGACGTGCTCTGGGAGGCTTGGAGCTGTGACTGCAATCAGGAATGTGGGATATGAATAACTTTGACAAATTTTATTCTCATTTTGTATACACAGAGTGTATACAAAACGAAAAATTTGTTTCCATTTCTTAAAACGCAGCAGTGATCAAATGTAAACAGTGTGGGAGAAATAAACATGGTGCAAAAATGCAGTGATATGGAAGTTCAGAGCATTTGAATATATATATAGTGCAGTATTTTGGTTTGGTGTTATCAGTGTGATGCAAAGTCTGTGACATGATTTAGAGTTTTCTTTCAATAGTTTGCTGTCTTATGGCTGTGGGGAAGAAGCTGTTTTGGAATTTGCTGGACCTACATTGAATGCTGCAAAGCCCCTTCCCAGAGGGCAGCAGGGAGGACAGTCCATGGTGGAGGTGTGAGGGGTCATTGATGATGTTATGGGTTCGGGACACGCAGCACTGGGATGAAATGTCTTTAAAGGAGGGATGATCTTCTCTGCTGTTCTCACCACTCTTCTCAGGTTCTTCCAGTCTGTGGCACTGCAGCCTCCACACAGTGAGACAGCTGGTCAGAATGCTCTCTATGGTGCTTCTGTAGAAGGTGGTGAGGATGGATGGGGACAGGTGGGCTCTCCTCATCCACCTAAGGAAGTACATGCGCTTTTGTGCCCTTTTAACTATTAAGATGATGTTTACAGTCCAGGTGAGGGTGTCTATGATGTGCACCCCCAGGGATGTGGTTCTGCTGACCACCTCTACAGCTGAGCTGTTGATGAGCAGTGGAGCGTGGTTAGGACGGTTCTTCCTAAAGTCAACGATGATCTCCTTCATTTTCTCCACAATCAGGATCAGACTGTTGTCTCTGACAACCCGTTCCACAACTAAAACACTTTGAGGCCATCGCTGAAATCAGGTATTCACTGTAATGTTCAGGGAATGTTCAGTCAGCATCACGGATATGTTTGTTCACTGTTCATCAGCAAGGTACTTTAATTTGACAGGTTTTTTTTTAATCATTATTTTTTTAGAAGTATTTTTTAACAAACATTCAAAATCAATATTTCATTTTACTATATTGTAATTTAGTAAGTCTGTATTTTTTTTTTCAGTTTTGTGTTATTTGAATCACTAGTGATAATGTATCATTTTGTTTAATTGGAGGGTATGTAAACTTTCAAGCACAACTGCAGGTGTTAAGATAGCAATTTTCCAAACACACTTATGGAGAGAACACTCTCCCAACGAGTTCTAATAAAACAGATCACTGGGATCAAAGCATCTATTTGTGTCTTTAAAAACTTTGTGCCAACTAGGACTAAATCTCAACAGTGTGCGTAAAAAAATAGAAATTATAAAAGGCCGGTTGAGTTCTTTTGCCACTAGACATGCATCACTGATTGCATTTCCTTTTGTATTTAGTGCAGTCTTTTAATAGTTCTTCCAGTCAGTATTTATTTTGAAATATCTGTTTCCTACTGCCCTTGGTAGAGTAAATCAGTCTGTCTTCCCTTGGTTTTGAATTTTGATGCATAGTTAAATTCTCAATTTTTATACTGGCTTAAGGGAACACATAGTAGGAATACCTGTTGTACATTTAAAGCAAACTTTTCACATATTGGCCAGGACATCCTTGTAAAAGAGATTCCACATGCCATTTGATTTGTTTCTTGGTTAAATAAATGTTGCATTAAAAAAATGATATCTATTTAATTTAAAAGACAAATGGGAAACTTTTTCTTGTACCGGTAATATGACATCGTCCATTTTCAATTAAACGTTTGTACGACTTTCTTTAAAGTGGCAGCTTTTTTCCCTCTCTTTCAGAAGTGTATTACATAAACTAAACATCTGTTTACATCGCAACTTGAAAGAAAAGAAAAAAAACATTAAGAAAAGTGTTAGGAGGTATGTTATACGTTATTTTACTGTATTGTTTGAGTTTGTCATTCTTACTGTTCCAAATAAAGTTATCAAAAAAAAAAGTGAAGTAGCAGCTTTTATTATGAAAAGCCACAAATAACCCGGAAGTAATTCAAAGCTTTAGCCTACTAGTTATACCTGCATGTCTAAACTGATGCGACCTGCGGTAAACACGTATCGCTGTTTTTATGTATAAGTCTTCTAACAATTAAATTAGCCATTCTATTAACTTAACTCGTTTTTATACACATTCTGTCAATAAGTTGCTTAAAATCTAACTGAAGTTTTAGTTGAGCCGTTAATGTGAGGAAGCAGGTTTCTGGTCATCAGAAACTAACTATCGGGTAACAGCAGAGCCTGATGCTGCTACATTAACTCCCTCTGCTCCCAGTTTGGACGCCATGTCCGCTCAGCAGGGAGCCAAACCCTCCCTGCGCTTCGGCCAGGTGGTCATCGGCCCCCCAGGCTCCGGGAAAACTACTTACTGCCAGGGGATGCAGGAGTTCCTGAGCAGCCTGGGTCGGAAGGTGGTGGTAGTGAACATGGATCCAGCCAACGAAGGGATCCCTTACTCCTGCTCTGTGGACATCTCTGAACTGGTTACTCTGGATGATGTCATGGAGAACCTGAAGCTGGGACCTAATGGAGGACTTCTTTACTGTATGGAGTATGTGGAAGCAAATCTGGACTGGCTGGAGAGCAAGCTGACACAATACAGTGACTGTTACTTCTTGTTTGACTGTCCTGGACAGGTGGAGCTTTACACCCACCAGAGCTCAGTCAAGAATATATTCTCACAGCTGGCCAAGTGGAATTTCAGAGTAAGAGAGAATAAATAATCATCTGATTGTTTTTGTTGTTCTGTGTCATAGTGCCAAATCTGTTCTGTTTTGGTATTCCTAAGGAAAATCTAGTCCTTGCTGAGTAAAAAGAGGGGTACAGCCAGGACAGGTCACACTGGGATCAAAGGGCAGTTTAGCTACCATCCTGTAACTTTTAGATGCATGTCTTCTCTAACACACCTGAATCAAAAGGCTAAATCCCCTCATTTAGCCCAGCAGTGGCATGGGAACGAGCCACTCATTTGATACGGGTTTGTTAAAAATGGGGTGCATCAAAAAGTTGCAGGATTGGAGCTCTAAAGAGGTGTAGCCAGAAAATCCTAATAGGGGTGGCCAGTCAATAAACCAATGTACATTGAGGTGCCAGAACCTCAGGGTCATTCTACACTGTTCCAACGCATATATATTTAAACATCCATGGCGTCTAAATAAAAGGTAAAGTGGACAAAATTCTTTCAGCTTTGAGTTCTGGGGCAAACATATTTTACATTGTCATTACCTACTTTTATCAATAATCATTCTGCAATTCTGTACTAATATCCACATTCAATGATTTTTTTAAGTTATTATTGAAGCAGTTTTTTATTTATGATTTCACTGAAGACTCCTAGATGACTTACAGAGACATGTTATTTTCCTTTTACCCAAAATAACACAAAATTTAGTTCTGAAAAGAGCATTAATTCTGTATTTATCATCTTTAATGTTAGTATATTGATGTGCATAATTAACAACAGTGTTTCTGTTGTAAAGTAATTATTAATCTATGAAAAATGAAAATGTTTAATCAGTTTGAAAATTCCCCTTGAGAGTATTACTGCTTCCACTGTCTGTATTAGAGGGAATAAAATTTTAGGGGTGGCCAATGATTGGCTAAGGGTGGCCAAGGCCACCCCTTGCCCCCCTTCTAGCTCCGCCCCTGTAGCTTTTTGGTACTGGACTCAAGCACCCCTGCATTAAACTTTTGTTTTTGTTTTTAAATGGGAAGGAAACCAGAACACCATTTCATGTTGATCACATTCCATTTATTTACACTGATCCTCAGTCTGTGGTGTGCTTTGTGTTTTATTCTCCCAGCTCACTGCGGTTCACCTTGTAGACTCTCATTACTGCGCCGACCCAGCCAAGTTCATCTCTGTGCTCTGCACTTCTCTGTCCACCATGCTGCATGTAGAGCTTCCCCACGTCAACGTCCTCTCCAAGATGGACTTGATTGAACAATATGGAAAACTGGGTACGTGATTCAGATACGTATGGTCAGATGGATTTAACCCCAGTTTAACTCACTTTTTTTATTTTATTTACAGCATTCAACCTTGACTTCTACACAGAGGTTATGGACCTGACCTATCTTCTTGATCACTTGGCCGCAGATCCTTTCTTTAAAAAATTTCACCATCTCAACGAAAAGCTGGCAGAAGTCATACAAGATTATAGCCTGGTGTCTTTCGTACCTCTTAACGTACAGGTATCTGTTAACTCACACAGCTTTAGTGAGTCTAGAAGTCAAATGCCAAAATAAGCTAAAATTATTTTCTAAAGATGCTTCAACTGAACACAGATCTAATAGATCTCACTGATTATAGACTGTTTACTTATGAATACTGTTAGCTATAATGTCTCTGCTGATCCAAATAATCTGTAGGTTTGTGCAATAATGGCAGTGGGGGTCCATGGAATTGCTCAAACATACACTGCAAATAAGGGTGTGATAAATCAAGAAAATAAAACTAAATCCAGAGAAAACCAAGTGAAATGATCTGTCCCTGCAGAAAGATCATTTTACTTTAACAGATTTGGGATTTTTAAATCTAGAAATAAGCATATTGAACACTTAAATTAGAAATTATGTTTTTAAACAAGATTCATTTTCTGACACTTCAAAATACAAGTTTTTTTGTGTGTGTTTCTTGTTGAGAACCAAATAATTAACAGTGCATAATCCAATCCCAGATAATAGAGACCTTTTGAATTGACAATTCTCTGCTCCATGCAGTATTTTACACAAACTAATGTATTTTGAGTTATAATTTCATATATTGTACATCTCTAAAAAGATTTAAGAAATATTTAGATAAAACCACAATTTCAGATTTCAATCCTGTGAAAGAATTAAAAAATCATTAAAAAAGTAAGATGTTTTGCATCTAAAACAGACAATGTGTTGTCATAATATAGGATGTTTTCTTTTAATAGCTATCCTGTGCAAGTCATAGGGCTTTTTGCCAAGTTAGCTCTTTAAAATCATTAGTTTTAGTTTGTTATATTAGAACTTCATAACAAGCTCCTTCACAATTAACTTCACAGAAGTTTCTTTTGTTCTTTAATTTTCTGGCGTATATTCCAGAGAATAATCACCTATTTTGTTTTATGCAGGCTTTTGCACCTGGCTGCTACCTAAAGAAATTCAAATTATTCAAATCGGGAGCAGAAGGGGTTATAATAATGAATATAAAGATGTTTTTACATTGTTTTCTGACATGATCTGATTATTTTATCTCTCATTAATGACATTAGTGTGGATACTTTCCTCCTGTTTTATTCATACCAGTATTTTTACTCCCTTATGCTTGGCCATTTTGAAAGCAAAGCTAAATCTCTGGCTTCAGTAGAGAGAACAAAAATCTTCCCAGTTCTTCTCTTTGTTGCTTCCAATGTATCTTTGTTTATCTCACAAAGTTAAACCCTGATAAAAACCTTCAAGACTGAGTAAGGCCGATCACCATGCTCTCACTCAGTCAAGGTTTCAGAGTCCTTTCAGGCTAGTATTTCGTCATTGGGTAGTTTCTCTGAATTCCTACGGGGGAAGTCCCAAGATCACATGCTAATTCTTCTTTCCGCTCTCCAGGACAAAGAGAGCATGATTCAGGTCTTGCGTGCTGTGGACAAGGCCAACGGGTACTGCTTTGGAGACCTGGAGGAGAGGAATCTGCAGGCAATGATGTCAGCTGCTGTGGGGGCAGACTTCCAGTTCAGCTCGTATCCTTTCCTTTTTAATTGGGTGACTCATTTGGGTTGAAATTAACACGAAACTCTCAGATGTTTAAACTGCTCTGTTTTATTTATTACATCTAACCTAAGCAAAGTGAGAAGTTATGGTAGAAATAGTGTGATACTTATAATGAAACGGAGCATTTGTCAGACTTCCAAGCATTTTCCTTCACCTTTGACCCTCTAGAACTCTTGGAGTACAAGAGAGGTACGTTGAAACCAGTGGGAAGACCGTGGAAGAGGAAATGATGGAGCTGTAGAATAAAAAAGATCAAAGCCTTTTTTTGATAAACCAGAGGAGTGTAGGCCCCATTTATTGATTGTTTTCTTTGTTGTATTCTTTTGTAATATTAAACATTAATAAAAATATAATAAGTTGTCGCTTGTGTTTTATTGTCTGTTTCATGTTCACGCTGTTCTGTAGCAACACAGTAACTGCAGGAAGTTGTGCATAACTGTGAAACCTTGGGACCAATGTGTAAAAGTATAACTTTTTGTGTACTGCTCAATGCTGTGTGATGCTAAGCTAATCACCATAAACACACCATCGTGTCAAGAAACATGGTGGCAGCATCATGCTGTGGGGACACTTTTCTCTGATGAGACAGTTTTGAGCTGTTCCAAAGGCTACTTGTGGTGAAAAGACAATGTTACAACTCACCCTTAACACATCCCTCCTCATAATGAAGCATGGTGGCGGTTACATCATGCTGGGGGGAAACCTTTCTTCAACTGGCACTGGGAAGGGGGTCAGAATTTATTGAAAGGTGGTATGGTTTGTAATTACAAACATATACCTTAAATTTATTTTTTATTTTAGGTTTTAAAGAAATGTGGAGTGTAACAGAATCACTTATATTTGAATGAAGATTAAACACATGCTAGATTATATTATCTGTTTCATTAGGTGATGGAAGTATGGGTGTAATTCTTTGAATCTGATTAAACAGATCAACTCTACCGGTTAATCAAAGCCTTCAGCAGCATCAGATAAGCCAGAAGTGAATTAAAAGTTTGCAGTGCTGTATCTGTACTGGCCGGCAGATGGCGCATGTGCTCATAAATCCCTCCCGCCCTGATCCGGGAAAAGTCTGCTCCAATTATTTCCTTTTGCCAAAGCAGAAAAATTAAGTCAGGCGGGGAGAGGAAGCCACATTAAATCTGTGTTTCTGCACAACTGGCCCTGTGTCTCGTCTTTGGGATGGAAGATATCCCTTCTTTCTCTCTACTATAAGCATACATTTTTATTGTGTTACAAATATTTACGTCATGATCTATCAGTAAATTTCAAACGTGTACATTTTGCACCAGAATAGAAATAGACGCATGTTAATAAAAGGGTTTTATTCTGTGTGTTTGTGTATTAGTGTGTCTTCCTGCTCTGCTGCAAGTCAGACTAAAATAAAGCGTGATCCACTTCACGGGCCTCGCAGCAGTGTGGGAAATCACATTAACCCTCTGTGGTGTTGATGTGGCTGCAAATGATCTCTGGACAGCTTCCTGCCTGCAAAGCTCTGTATGCATTAGGGGGGTGTGTCAGGCAGAATGTTAAATTGTGTTTCAGTGTTTGTACATGTGATCAAGTATGCCTCCTCATTGGTACTTCCTGCCTTTCCCCCTCTATAAGCCCCCTAGAGGAAGGTGTGTGGTGTGCTTGAGTGTGAACAGAGAGTGAGAAAAGAAAGCGAAAGGCACTCTGGTCCCACTTACATCCTAAAATCAGAAATTATATCAATTATATTCTTAAATTCTTTACAACTTTTAAGTTTTTAAATATTCTGCAAAGCATTTCTTTCTTTTTAACACACTAATCACCCCCCCACCCCCACCCCCCAATGCAGAGCACACACCCTGTGTTGCAAAAAAAAAAAAAAAAAAATGTCTGCTTCTTTCACCTCTAGAGAAGAGAGCTCTAATGGTTCATTCTTCTTTATTAGCTGTGAGACTTTGAAGCTGTTTACATGTCTTATTTCAGCTAGATAAAGTCTAGTTTAATTTTCTGTTTGGTTCAGTTCAATGGCAGCAGGCTGAGAGAGAGAGAGAGAGTGCCCATCCCCCATGCACAGCAGAGAGTGTTTCTGCTGGAGTGAGATACAGAGGGGGTGGTAGAGGAGAGCAGAGCAGACAGGCAGGCAGGCAGGGGAGGGAACAGGAGGGAATGTGCATTGGTAGTCTCGCTTGCTGCAAAGCTTCCTCCTTGTGCTGTGGAAAAACCTCTGCTGTTTGCCTGGCCTTTCAAAATACTCTTGGAAACAGTTCTGATAAAGAACAAGAGCAACAAAAATGTTTAAAAAAAAGAGATTTGGTTGGGTTGTTAATTTATTTTTTTTCTCAACGAACAGATATGATTGATTCAAAATTGCTTTTCAGCATTTTTCTTTTTTTTTTTTTGCACAATTACAGATTGCTAAAAGAAATCTCTGACATTCCTTCTTGGTCTTGAAAATAATAAAATGTTTAACTTAACCATAACGGGCCTAATCACGGGCTGCTTACATGACATATATGCTACAACAAAGTGTAGATCCAGTTTTATAGGTTTGTAAAGAATGACAATACCGTTTCTATATTTTGGGTCTAATAAGTTACCAGAGAGAGTTCAACACACAACTAAGCTTGCTGTACTTTATAGAGCACAAAGTTAGAAAGCTGCTCGAAACATGAGGCTGTGCATGGCCAGTCAGCTGGCTGAAAGAGGACTTCTATGCTTCTTCCTTGCTTCAGAGAGAGAAAATAATGTGACGGATTTTATACCAAGACAGACTTCTTTTTCTGGTTCAGTGTCACCCTGAGCCAAACCGAGCACCAAGCTGTATGGGAATCTGTTTCCTCTTACCAAAAGCATTGACAATCATTAACAACATATTACACTTTAATAGTTTATACATATACACTTTTAGTATGTTTACTTTTTGCACTAACTTGTAAGGTATAGTCAACCTGAACACACCATAACAATCTCACACAAACCCAAACATACAGCTATGTTTTCAGGCTTTTTAAGGACATTTCATTGACATACTTTAATTTTACATGGTCTGACCCAGAACTAACCTTAACCATTACCGACGTATATATACTCCTAACCCTAGGTTAAACTGAATTAACACCTCAGTCCTAAATCTAACCCCAACGCAAAGAAGAGAACTTTACCATAGGGAGACCACATTATTGTCCCCATATGTACCTGTAAGTCCCCACAACGTAGGATGTCTAACAAAACACTGCACCCACATTGTAAGTAAAAACTTGGAGACTTTAACATCCATAATAAAATGCAACAAAAAAGACCTGGAATAAAGCAAAATTAAAACAAACAGATTCACAATGAAACATAAACATGACCAAATAATAACTGAATGAATCCCTTAGAGGAAATTCTTTTCTGGCAGTGCAATCACAAGTAAGATATAAGAATACAATACAATAAGGATGAGAGTAAAATAAGGATCACAGTAAATATAATCAATAGAATTTACAATTATTATGCTGCTCAGTACCAAATTACAATTATTGCACATGACCATGTTATTTTGCGTAGTGAAGTAATGAAATAAATGTGTTATTATAAAAAAATTATGTCATTAATAATGATAATATGAAACTATAATGTGTAAGACAGCTTGTGATACAGTCATACATGTTTTCTATATCACTCAGCAAGCAACACAAGTCTTGTTAGTTTTAACTAATCACTTTGGACAACCATGTTATAAAAAAAAATTAATGGAGTACAAAAAATAATGAGATGCCAGGTGAGTTCAGTTTGAGAGGAAACCAGTACACTCAAAACCAGCAGATGCAACAGTTATGAAATGATGAAAACACGTGTAAGACAGACTGATACTCATACCCTCTGTCACTGTGACTTTTAAGTGTTTCAGAGCTTGAGAGGTTTTTTAAACATCACACACCTGTGTATGAATCTATGCTTTGTTTCTCTCAAAGGCTATTTTCAATAAATTTTTTGTTTTACCCTCCTTGAATGATCACTCCATAATGGAAATACAGATATGGAATACAGATTAGAAGAATTGATAGCCAACACTTTTGATTTTTAAATTGAAACACAATTAAAAAGAATCACAAGATCAGATGCAACCTACATGCAACAGAACAAAAAACATAAAAAAAAAAAAACTGCTAAAATACAACAAAGTACAATTTGAAACAGAAAAGCAACCCTGCCTGTTACAAAGGATACATCATGTGCAGAGACATTTCCTCATGGTCAGGGCCAGTCTTTAGTCAGAGCTTAGCAGCATAACATGTAACATATATAGCATAGCAGCACACACATATACACACACACACACACACACA